GTCTGTCTGTCTGTCTGTCTGACTGTCTGTCTGTCTGTCTGTCTGTCTGTCTGTCTGTCTGTCTCTGTCTGTCTGTATGTCTGTTCAAGATACAATTAGTTCAACTTCATATTGTTCCAAAGCTGTTGTAGGAAGTACATGTAGAAGCTTATGTGTGAGAACAATCGCATGCAGGAATGAGTGAAGACTCTTCGTTCATTGTCCTACTTGTATGCATGGCTACTTGCAAGGAAGAAAACCAATTTAATTGACATATTGTATCTAAATTTCAGAATGAATCAAATGTATCAGTGAACGATTGTACATGAAAAGATGAAGGAAGACAAACATCAAGGAGATTTTTTCTTGGTATCCAAATTTGCAGAATGAATTAAACGCACATACGATTAAAAAGCAATTACCCCCCCCCCCCCCCTTTCCACAAACACAAAAAAAGTTTTCATGAATTCTCTTTCAAACACAGAGGCATGCGAGAAGGAAAATGTATGCTGACCTTCCTTGGTCTCAGGCCCAGTCTGCTTCGACTCCGATATCTTGACGCATTGGACGAACTTACAATCTGGGTCCATCCGGCACGTCTCTCCTGGATCACACGGGTCTAAAAACTTGCAGTAATCGACGGAACACTCAGCCACAACCTTAATCTCAGAAGATTCCTCTGACTCTTTGTCGTCAAGCTGCGGTAAATTGGCTTTTTCCCATATATCCACTGTTGGTACTGTCATCCCGTCATCCCAAACATTCCCATCTGGACTCGAACCACCGTTGTTATTGGAGAAGTCAAACGATTTATTCTCTCCAGATTTAGAAGCACCTACGGCTGTTCCCTCGTCACTGCCGCCAAAGCTGGGCCCACTGTGTTCTGAAGGATTTGTTTCCTTCACGTTTGTTGGAGCTTCCTCGCCTTCTGTGTTTCCAGTATCACCAGGATCCGGAATGGGACTATTGGGTTCCGAGGAATCCCCTTTTTTTTGTGGGTTTTTCCAAAAGTCCAAATTTTGGCCAGCAAAAGGGTCTTCCGTCTCTACCTCCGTGGCTTGATCCCAGTCAAATGAACCGCCAAAGTTGAAACTTTCGCCTGTAGGATCTCCGTTGTTGGTGCCACTGTTGTTATTACTGTCATTGCTGGCGCCGTTATCATTTGCGGTAGTACTGCCAAAATTAAATGTTTGTCCTTTGCCAGAATTCTCATTGGCGGGGTCGTTCACGCTTGCCGTCGAACCTCCCTTCTGATCGCCTGCGAACGGGTCGTTTGATTCTTCGGCAGGCTGAGATGGAAAACTGTTGGGGCCGAAATCAAATATCTCGCGTTTTTGCAGATGTGGCGAAGCTATACTCGCGAGGCAAACCACATAAAGAATGAGAATATTTACAAGTGCCATCTTGAGAAACGTCCCGTGTGCCGACTTTAGGTGAATTCCTGCAGAATAAAAAATATTAAACTAGTTATAAAAGTGAAACAATTACACGTGCGCACACACACGCACGCGCGGGCGCGCGCGCGCACACACACACACACACGCACACACACATACACACACACACACACACACACACATACACACACACACACACAGATATTATGTACATGTACGAGTGCGCGCACGTGTGTGTGTGTGTATGTGTGTGGTGTGTGTGTTGTGTGTGCGTGTGAGGGTAAGTTGAGAGGGGTTATGCGCTATACAAATAT